GCTTCACCCACATCTTGTGCCGACTAGACTGAAAAATAAGAAGGGAAATGCACACATTGCAGTTACTAGTGACATTCCGGCCCCTCCTACTACAGCTGCTTTGGGGTCTGTTGCAGTTGCTGCAATAAGGGCCGAACTTGAGAGGTATGGGCAACTTCTGAACCAGCGGGATACAGCCAGTTCCAGTTCAGTCACAAGTAGACCTATTCATGGGTCGGGTAGCCCGATGGCCCGACCCGCACCCCGGTCGGGCTTGGTCATGTAATTAGGCCCACGGGCCTAACCTCAGGCCTAACATAGTAAGCCCGATTGTGTTACGGGCCGGGCTCGGGATTTGTCAAAAAAAGCCCGGCCCGGCCCGACTCAGCATTATATATTTTATAAAATACATAATATGTATTTTATATTTTATATAAAATATATAAATAATATAATATTTATTGAAATATATATTTATAATTTAATATATACATTTTTTTATTTTTTTCTTTATAATTTCTCCCTCACACTCTCTCTATTCAGTCGCTTCAGTAGTAGTAACAACATGGGATAAATTTCGGGCTCGAGCCCAAGCCCAGGCTTTGGGCTTTTTATGAGGGTCGAGCTCGGGCCCAAGTTGTAGGCCCGATGGTCGGGTCGGGCTCGGGCCTTAGAAAAATTTGTTAATACAGAGTCAAAGCCCGGCCCGAGCCCGGCCCATGAACAAGTCTAGTCGCAAGAAGATAGCAAGGTACAGGTGGCACTGGTGGAGTCCACTCTACTTCTTTTGCTCACACAGGTAGTTCACATGTCACTGCAAATTATGTTTCTACTTCAAGTAAGGAGGGACCTCCTTGGATTATAGATTCTGGAGCCTCAGAGCACATGACCCAGATCTCTACTATTTTTTCAACTTACCAGCTCTGTTCTGGCAGAGATAGGGTCTCCACAGCCGATGGATCCCATGTTCATATTGCTGGGAAGGGATCTGTCAAGATTAGTGATTCTACTTCTCTACCCTTTGTCCTTCATGTTCCCAGATTGAGCACTAATTTGTTATCTGTTAGTAGTTTGATTAAGAACCTAAACTGCTCAGTAATTTTTCCTCCTGGTCATTGTATTTTGCAGGATCTGGATTCAAAGAGGACGATTGGGAGTGGTCGTGAAGTCAATGGAATCTACCTCCTGGATGTACTTCCTCCTCATCAGAGTCATCATGTTAGCAGGGATAGTGAGTTAGGGTTTGTGGGTTAAATTATACTTTGGCATAATCATTTGGGCCATTTACCTTTTTCTTCTTTGAGTTTTTTGTTTCCAAAACTTTTTGAATCTGTTAGTTTGTCAAGTCTGGAGTGTGAAGGTTATCAACTTGGAAAGCATTGTAGACATTCATTTAAACCTAGTAATAAAAGATGTTCTTCTTCTTTTAATGTTATTCATTCGGATGTTTAGGGCCCTTACCATGTTTCTTCTATGGGAGGCTATCGATATTTTCTCTTATTTGTGGACGATTTCTCACGATACTCTTGGATTTACCTGATGAGATCCCGCGATGAAGTACCATCCTTGGTGAGGCAATTTTATCAGATGGTGCTAACACAGTTTGGAACAAAAATAAAGGTGTTCAGATCCGACAATGCCAAGGAATATTTTGAAAGACACCTTGTCTCATATTTGTTAAAATATGGTGTTGTCCATCAAAGCAGTTATCCCTACAGTCCACAGCAGAATGGTATTGCAAAAAGGAAGAACAAACACATTGTTGAGATTGCAAGAAGCATGATGATTACATCTACAGTTCCAGTTCGGTTTTGGGGTGATGCAGTTCTCACAGCAGTATATCTGATTAACAAGGTGCCCTCTCGTATACTTGGATTCAGCACCCCATTCAGTCTCCTTTTTCCTCAGGGGGATATGTTTCATATTCCTCTCAGGGTGTTTGGGTGTGTCTGCTTTGCACATATCCTTGGTCCCCACCGCTCGAAGCTTGATCCCAAGGCAAAGAAGTGTGTCTTCCTTGGATATGCAGAGAATCAGAAAGGGTACTGCTACTATGATTCAGTCTCTGGGAGCCGGTATATTACCATGGATGTCACATTTTTTGAATCCACGTACTTCTTCTCAAAGAATCCTTCTCAGGGGGAGTGTTTTGGGGAAGTGAGTCAGCAATCTATTCCTCTCCTAGTTCCAGTCCCTGTGTCTACTCCTGTGCTTGACCACCACCCTGTGGCACCTACCTTGCCACCTTTGCATTCTGCTTCTCAGCATTACTTACGACAGAGAATCCACAAGGAGGTTGATTCCACTACAGCAGAACTCACATCACTTCCTGTCGATTCCTTGGAGACTCCAGATTCGGCTGCCATGGATTTAGGTATTCCTCTTGGTCCTGCTACTGTTTTAATTACCATTGATTCTACTAACCCTGTTACAGATAACCTTGATCTCCCTATTGCTCTTAGAAAAGGAAAGAGGAAGTGCACTGCTCATTGTATTTCACAGTACTTATCCTACAGTGGACTTTCTCCTTCCTACTGTGTTTTTCTTTCCTCTCTTGACTCAGTGTCTATACCCAAGGGTGTTAGTGAGGCTCTCTCCA